CTCCTCTACATGACGAGGTAAAGGGGCTGCACCTGATAATAACATATGAGCTCTCCCTCCTAATGCTTCTTTTATCTGTCACAATTTCAATTCATGAATTTGTAAGTCTTAAATATATTATTTTATCCAACACATCCTCTACAAAATTAGTTGAGAAAGTTACAGAATTATATTAACCATTTTAATAAATATATAAACATTGCAATACTAAACTTAATATTTGTTAAGAAGCTTCTATTTCCGTGCATGGCACTCATCATTATATAGAATATATATGTAATTCACACTGACCTTATCGAACATAAGTCTGTCTAGACGAGGAGAAGCTTCTTCTTGAGACAATCCTTTTCTCATATTCCCCATTTTACTGTATTCGCAAGATGATGATCTCAAAGATTCAGTTAACCCGAAATCCGGTTGTTTTGATTTGGAGAAACAAATAAATTTAACTTACTAGTTATAAGCGAAATCGAAGAGTTTCTTGCGTATCAAGCCACCAGCAGAGATTTTTTGCATTACACCTAAACCCACAAAAGATTATTTGTTTTTAATACAGAAAACCACGAGAAAAAGAAGATAAAACTCGAGTTTCGGACTTGATCAAACGTAATACCAGCATAGAGTTTGTCGTAAACTCGTGGAACACCACAAAACACAGTTGGTTTCAGTGCATGAACATCATCCATCAGATACCGAATATCCTGAAAACAAATACAAAAGAGAAGCATTTTGTGATAAAGAAGAAAACAAATTAAAGGGTTTAAACTTAAAACTATATAAAAGGAAAAAATTCGCTTACGCCACGCCAGTATCCAACAGAGGAGCCTCTGGATAAAAAGTAAATCTCCATGACTTGATCATAACAATGTGCTAATGGCAAGTACGAGAAGAACACATCGCTTGTGTCACACTACAAAATTTCAACGATTATATATAAAACAAACATTAGTCAGTCGCTGTCGTTGAAATCATTACTTAGTGATTTATAAAAGTTTAGCGGCTAGTCGTTGAAATTTGTCGTCGAAATGTAATGTTGAACCAACAAAACGTATTGGTCGTCGCTATACTTAGTGATAACTGACAACAAACTGAACATGACAATATGTAATATATAAAAGAAAAAGAAATTACCGATCGATCGGTGACTTGAAGCATTTTATCAATGGATAAAACTTCGACCATAATCGCTGCGTTGTTTAAGATTACACCTTTGGGCTCCCCTGTCGTCCCGCTTGTGTACATTATTGTGCAGATGTCTGTTTTTTGCTTACGTGGAAGGTTTGTCTCATCCGAGTTTCCCTGAAAAAAAATCATAATTAGATATAATATTACTGATTATAAAACCCACAAAAAGTTGAATCTTAAGTGAAAAAACAAATCCCCCTATAAGTTCAAAAATTTGCAAATTATAGAACTTGTCTTTTCCTTTTGGAAACAAACACTAACCATTAGTAAGAACTCATGCCATGAAAATAAAGAAACACATTGGTTCTCAGCTTCTTCCTTTTGTGTACTTGAGACTTCCCCGAAGCTCACAATAGCTGAAACCAAAAAAACAAAAGATAAAATTGTCAACTCGAATAACATATTATATTGAAATTATCGAATCATTGATTTTTAAAAAAAATGTAACTTACTCTTCAAATTCGAAGAACACCCCTTGTGGCATGCTAAGATCTGCACAAAAGCTTTCAAGCATAAATCAGAAAAAAACCTTTTTCTTGTGGGACAAGAAACGTAAAATGAAATTTAAAGTATGGCTGATTGAATCGAAAAAGTGGACTTACGGATGAAACTTTCTTCTCTTGAACGAATACTAGTGAAACCTCAGCATGGTTGATGATGAACTCTACAGCGTTTACGCCTGTTTCATCCACATATCAAATCTCGGATCAGGTTTTATTGGATCATTGTTAAAAGAAAGTATATTTTTGTATGATAAATTCTTGTAATAATATTTATCGCATATATATCCACGTAAAATACCTAAAGTATCGTATAGAGGTACGTAAGTTATCCCTTGGCTCATGCAGGCCTGCAATATTACTACCACTTAGAGAAACTCTATAACAGAAAAGAAAAATTGAAACCCAAAACTTTATGATTCAGAATTAAAAAGCAAAAGTTTTCGTTTTACCTCCATCGCTATAATCCATTCTGGACAATTAGATCCGTATATCCCACAACAGTTTCCCTACAGTCCACAAAAAACCAGTTAGACAAAAAAACATTTGTATAACTTTTAATTAATTTATATACATGATTGATTGAACGAAACATTATTGGAATGTACCGGATCAACACCTCGGCTTCTGATTGCTGATCCAATTCGAATTGCAGCATCGTGGGCTTCCTTATATGTGATCCATGTGTATGGACCGACCTATATACACATTACTTAGATGTGTCATGGGAGATGTCAAAAAGAAAAATGAAATGATATGAAATTGTTGACAGTAGCTTTTTCAAAAGAAGATTGTTAGTAGTCTACGGAAACAAATAAAGTAATATAGTAACTATATTATATATAGTATTAGTACCTTAGAATCACTCGTTAAGCGTCGGCCTAACATTTGCTCATTGGGATATTTCTTCACAGCCTCACTGAAATAAGACACAAGAGAAAAGTGAGACAAATTCTGTGAAAAGAAAACATCTTATAGAAGAATTGTTACTCCCTCTGTTTTTCAATATATGATGTTTTATGATTTTTACTTATTTTTAAAAGTTTAACGTTTTAGTTTTTAATTAATACATATTTAATGTTACATATTTTGATAAAATAAGCTGAAAAGTTAAAAAGTAGAGTAAGTAGCAACTAAAAAAGTAATTAAGAAATCATATTAAAAATTTGTCTTAGTGTGAAAATTTTAAAATGTCATACATTTAAAAACAGAGCGAGTATTAATTAGCACAAATCAATTAATCAGCATTGGACTAACATATTACTTTTAACAAAAAATGATTGTGAAGTGAGTTTGACAGAGAAAAAAAAGTATTATTAGTAGTAAAGTGTCTCAAGATCCATATAATACCTAAATAACTGCCAAGGAGAATCAAGATCAGTAGGAAGATCGAGGAGGCCATCTTTAGCGTATTTACATCGATAAACTGGCCCGGCCGATGGATGCTCAGCCGTGGCTGGCCGTCCTTCTTCCACCACCACCACATGATCCGCCGCTGCAGCCATTTGTGTACAGATCAATGACAGATTTAAACTTTTGATGAAGAAGAAGTTGGGAAAGAGGATGAGGACGAAGTGGAATGTGAGTGTCTCTATTTGAAGATTTGAAAAGATAAACAAATGGTTTGTGAGGTTAATAAAAGTCTCTGTATATCGGTGGTGAAGTTTGGAGATTGTGGTTGGGTTAGAGGAAGTAGTTGAGCAATAACTTCTTGAGTCTCACAATTGATGTATTTCTGACCGGTTTTTAATTGCGCCTTTATTGGGAGGAGCCTATCTTTTTTTTTTGTTTTTTACTTATCTCCATAATTTAATACTACTACTAATATGTATGTTGTCTATCTACGCGTTATATGCAAGTAGATTCGGTTGGTGTGAAAGAACCTAAAGAGTGAAGAGTAATTACACCAAACGTAGACTATTTAAATAGTAACTGATTTTTTGCATGTACTTGTTTATTACTTTAATTAACATATTTTTTAATTAAATAGTTCACAGTTCGATGATTTTCGCGTTATTTATATGTACTGTAGCACATCTGTCACAATCAACATCTTTTTATAACAATGTGGCATCCATGACATATTCGACCTCAAATTAATCCCGGCCTTTCTCAGTAAATTATAAGTGGTGGATTTTTGATTTGCCGATGACACAAGAATGTTGGGCTGCACATTAAACCGTGCCCAAAATAATTAAAATAATATGATATCCCTTATTCATAATTTTGCCATTTTCTTTCTTTTTTTTTCTGTCAAAAAAATAATTTTGCCATTCAAATTATTTACGTACAGTATATCAAATTAACCCAATAAAATTAAACATTTCGGAAGAAAAGATAACCAAGTGATAGTGGTCTAATGGTTTTCACTTGAGGAGAAATTGCCCTGTTGGTCAAAACGGCATCTCCCCAGAGAATTAGTCTGACCCTTTCATAAATCTGGGATGTATCTTGAGTTATAAAAAAAAAAAAAAAAAGTCTAGCCATTATTAGAATCTAGTGGGTCATTTTACATCAGATCGCCAATTAAATGAAACACAACCAAAAGGTGACCCTTATTGATATTTGCATATTAGTTAGATTTTGGTTATTTATTTCCAAACCCAGTAACGTTGCTACCATTATGTACGTTATCCATATTTAATAGCCTTTAGATTTGTGTCAATTCTCCAGATTTTCTCTTTTACGAATTAAAATGAAGGAGATAAACCCAGCCTCTGAGTTTCTGTCTTTGCTCAATTTGTGTTATAAGTTCAAGTCCAATTAACTTATGTTTTCACAATACTTGGGAAAAGGTAATCGTTTGATAATCAAGGTTAATTAAGATGGAAACTTTACATAATAGCAATGTAAGTTGTACCAAAAGAGTACATTCTAAGTGTAAATTGCACTATATACCATTTTTTTTTAAGTAATCAAAGTGTATATAGCATTCTAACAAAAAAAAGAGTAAAGTGTACATTATTCAATTCTTTTTTTCCTTTTTAATCTCAATTGAAACTCCACATATATAAGCATAGAAACTCCACATATATAAGCATAGTAATTTTTTTTCTTCTTGTAAGCATTTTTTATCCAACAAACCGTTTCTCTCATAATCATCAGAACAAGAAGCCAAAAGCAGATCTCTGTCTCTCTCTTTCTCTTCAAAACCATGGCTGAGAAGATTGTGGTGGGCATAGAAAAGGTAACGAGTGCTGCTCTCTTCTCTATTCTCTTTCAAAATTAACTTCTCTTTCAAACCTATCAAACTAAAAAGATTATTATTATGAGTAACAATGATTTTTTTTTTCTTCTGTATTTGCATAAAAACAGGTAACTTGGATGAAATTGACGACGAAACCTCTTGATAACAAGAATTTCGAAAAAGTCAGGAAGGCTTTTTGTGCCTGTCCTCGTAAGCTTTCTCTCTCTCTTTTTCTTTTGTTCTTCATTGAATATTTGAGATTGAAAGAATTCGGAACTTAAATAACTTGTGTGTGTGTGTTTTCTTTTGATTGCTTTGCAAAAACACAAATAAAGAAATAAAAGACCAAGTGTATGACGACAAGTGCAACACCACAGTCACGATCAAAGTGGTTTGCTGCAGTCCCGAGGATGTCATGGATAGACTCTGCAAGAAAGGAGCCGGAGCTATACGCAGGATCGAGACCTTCGACCCATCTAAACCTACGACAGAAAAGCCCAAAGCTCCTGAAAAGCCCAAAGAAGCTGAAAAGCCTAAAGAACCAGTGAAGCCTAACCCAGCACCAGCCGCTGCTCCGGGTTCTCAACCGATGGTCTATCCCGGTTATGTCTATCCTGGGTATGTCTATCCCGGGTACCCGGTCTCGAGTGTTGACTCTAATGGGCCTCAGTACGCCTGGAACCAACAAAATGGGTATCGTGAAAGGCCCGTTTACGATAGCTATGGAGGTGGGCCACCACCGTCGTATTACGGTGAAGAAGACTCCGTCTGCGCTATAATGTGAGAAGTCGTGAAATTATTAATCGCAACACCTAATTTAGTTAGAAGAGAGTGACTAAAGTTTTTATATAGACAAACGGACGAATAGTTTTTGATTTTCTTAATTATTTTTATAAAGAAACACTTGAATTTTACAGTTTGGCTATACGCAATCGGTATTACTTTATGCTCTTCTTTCGTTATTGTTAAGAGTACTAACCAAATAGTAAATAGAGAGTTTTGGCTTTATCTAATAAGATCATTGTTTCACAATTCACAATTCACATGTATAGTAGCTGCTCGACCTAGCATAACTGTATACGGTTATTAACAATGCATCTCTAAGGAATAAATATCACATGTATTTAAACAATCTGACCCGAAACCAAGCCGAAATATCAAAGAAATAACTGATTTTATACCAAACCAAAGAAAGTTTTTGATTGATTTGGTGTAATCTTTCGATATCCGAAAAAAGAATCAAACCAGAAAAAACATCTTATGAGATCCAAATTTGTACCTCAACTGAATGGGATGTTTACGATATTCAAATTTACAGGCAATAAAAATGAAAACCGGAAATAACCGAACCTGAAACCAGACCAAAAAACCAAATTGAACATCCGCGCGTCAAATTGGAATAAAAGGCTCAATTCACGGCCCATATCCAAAACTCGGCCTACGTCTCTGTTGATTAAAAAAGGAGACGGCAAATCAATGGAGGGTTAGGTTAGGGTTTTTAGAATCTTGGAGAAGCACAACAACATCAGAAGAGAGGAAGAAGAAGAAGAAGAAAAAAAAGCAGCCATGTTTCCTGGAATGTTCATGCAAAAGCCAGACAAAGCCGTGGCTCTGAAGCAGCTACGGACGCACGTTGCTCTCTTTGGGAGCTGGGTTGTCGTAATCCGTGCCGCTCCATACGTCCTCTCGTATTTCTCCGATTCCAAGGATGAGCTCAAGATCGAGTTCTAAGACTCGATCCCCTTTTGATTTTTTCAGGTCAGCGAAACTTTAGTCTCGGAATTTTCTATTGGGGGTTTTATTTCCTTTTCCACTTTAGTCTCGATTCATCGAATCTATTTTGAAATTCTCGATTTGCTGTAGAAAATCATCGGGTAACAGAGTTTAGTAAGTAGGATTATAGTTAATTATAGTTTGATAGGATAGATTCTGTTTGAGATAATGCTCTGGGATTCTTATACTTGAGCTTGATCATAAGTATAAACTGGAAATTTCAATTCTTTCTCTGATGTTGCATCTTTTGGGTCATCATCTCTTGTTGAAATGCTTGTTCATGATAATGTGTTCAGAGTCAATTAAAGTATGATATGCGTCAGCGTATGGCCATGGAGATTTAGGGATTGTTGAGTATTGGCTATATACTTAGGCAAGCTAGTTTTTGCCCCTTTTTGTGCTAGCATGAGAGTCTTCTTGAAGTTTATCTTCAACATCCCTAACGCAATAGTAAATTTTGTGTTATGAATTTCGGAAGTAGTAAGTAGAGAATGAGTATTCAAAGGCTTCTCAGATAAATCATGGCATATATATATATAATACTGTGTGTGACATCTCTGCTAAAGCTGCCATCTTCTTTCATATTTGTGCAGTGTTGAAGCGGTGAAATAGATGAAAAATTGTGGCAATGGAAGACCTATTGTTCCGTTTTTTTAAGACCTGAAACAATCAAATTGTGAGACATTAAGTTATAGGCGATGTACTTTTGCTATTTGTTTTGTTTTGTGTTCTCTCATAGCTTTTCTTCTCACGGCTATACTCTGTTCTCCTCCATTTTCTTCTGATTTATTGGAAAGAGTATTATGAAGTTATTGTCGTCACAAATTACCTTTAGGCTATTTACAAACGATATGCTTATCAAGTTCTGTTGAATCTTCAAAATCTACTTATTTTGTGTTGCAAGTATCCACCTTTTATGTTCGGAAGATGTTTTGTAATTTCCTGAAAGCAATCGACTTTATGTTTTAGTGGAAAAATATTAATAAAATAAGGGGAGTGTGAATGAAATGAACAAGGAAGGAATAATAGTGTTGCATTGCATAACTGTTTTCTCCGACATTTGCTCTGCTTTGTCTGATGAATATAGACCACAACTCTTTCAACATGAACAGTCTTCTCTTTTCCACCATTCGTAACACTCACGAACAACGTGCGAACCAGAAATTTTATCAACTTGTCTTTCTTTTTTGTTCTCCCTTTCTTCTCTTCTTCTTCTCCTTCTTCACCATGATCATGATGATCATCTCTTTGATCTCTCTAGAAAAGATCAACAACGAAAACCCACATGATCTTCTAATTGAAAATTACAGAAGATTTTGCCAGACCCATGTCGAAAGTTTCAATCTTTTTCGAGTTTTAGATTAGAGCATACGTGTCACACAAGAGAAGCTGGTGATGGTGGAGGTTCCTGGCTCTGTGGGCACAAGTGCAAGCCTTTCCTTGAGATTAGGTCAAACGGTGTTAGCATCTGGGACTCTTCTCTTCATGACCATTGGTGTTCGCTTCTACCAGTTCACTGCTTTCTGGTAATATATAGCTTCCTAATTCCAGATTCTGCATTCTCTTATGAACCCTAATAATCTTATAAAACCAAATCTGCAGCTACTTGGTGACGATCATGTCTTTAGCTATACCGTGGAATTTGACATTAGCAATGGTAGATATATATTATGTTCTTCTCAAACAACCATTTCAAAAGCCACGGCTCCTTCTCGCTATCTCCATTGGCGATTGGGTAAAACAGATAGATTATCCTAATGTTTACTGAGAAGTGAGAAAACGAGTTTTCGATCTGAATTCTCTTTTGTTCTGCAGGTGGTGTCTGTTCTAGTGTTGGCTTCAGCTTCATCAGCAGCAAGTGTTGTAGATATTCTGCGATCAGACGAATCCGTTTGCCCTCCAACAATCTGTAACAGATATCAGTTTGCAGCAACATTAGCTTTCTTGACTTGGTTCTTGTCTCTTTCTTCTTCTCTCTTCAATCTCTGGTTACTTCCCTCTCTCTGATCTAAGAAGACGATGAGATGACAAATAAACAAAATACAGATAGATAGCAAAACACAAAATGTCTAACGAAACTCTGATCTTTGTAACTTGCCAGATATAAAAACTCTTTATCGAACACTTTACCAAAAATGACAGTGAAAAACTGGACGTGGCCAAATTGAAATGGCCACACATTTAAGGAGTTTTGTGTTGAGTCTGATCTTTACTTTGTATCTTATTGGTGTCATCATATGTAGAGCCAAAGAAGTATTACATCAGCTTTCACTCATTGTTCCATGCCTCAAATGGCAATGCACGGATTTGCCCAAATGACATTCAAAACTCACTAATCCAGAGTTTACTAACAGAGTTATTCATTAACATAATCATCTCAGGAAACCAAATATCACAGACATCGCCCAAAAGCATTACAATTTGGTGTAATATGTTGATCGGTACAACGCCTTATGGTCGTCTCCCTTGAAGCTCGTGAAATCCACTCTATCCAACAAGACACATTTCCATTGCTAGCAAAACTGCAGCGAGAGGAACAAAGATCATGATAACGCAATGTACTAACATGTTTCGATTCCATAGCGTAAAGTGTTCAAATGTTTTTAAGAATCTGACAACACAGATGCATATTGTCTTCATATAACAATGCTAATAATCTTAGGACCACTAACATCCATACACTACAAATGGCTTATAAGATAAACATAAAGACAGAAGAATCGTGCATCCAAGTCGATTCTCACTAAAGGTCCAGACTATATTTGTAAGCAGATGCTTGAAACAGCTAAATGCAGTACCAAAGGACTAAATCAATCACCTTTAAGAAGTCGAAGATGGAGGAATCTGAGACTGGGCAGTAGAGTCAGCAATGGAGGCTGAAGAACTGGTTGCAGCGGCAGCAACAGCAGCAGCAGCTGCTTCAGGAGAGTAGATTCGAGCTTTCTTGATGATCTCTGCAACAATCCAATGCTTATGCTTGCTCAATGGCCTTGATGGATCTAATTTCACCTGCATGATTACCAAAACCAAAGCTCCCATTTTTCAAATTTTACTTAGCCTAAATCTAAAGAATCGAAGCCTACTTCCACTAGCTAACATCAAACATTTAAAAGACGCAAAATTTCCCTAAATAATCGAACAAAATTCGAGTGTGGATATAAGGGAAGAAAGCAAAAAAACGAGATCGGGAGAGAATTACTCGATCGCCGATGTTACAGGAGTCTTTCTCGTCGTGAGCCATGAATTTGGAAGTGCGCTTGACGTAGCGATTGTAGAGCTTGTTGTGGAAGAGCCTGTCGACGGCGACGACTACAGATTTCTGCATCTTGTTCGATACCACAGTGCCTATTACTGGCTTCATTTTGGTTTCTTTCCGGTAAACCGATTTCCCGAATGAGCAAAATCTTCGACTTGAGAGAGTCAGAGATCGAAGAGAAAGAACAGTGAAATGTTTTTTTCGTCTTGTGACTAGGGTTTTTCCGATTTTGTTACGATGGGCCTTTTTAATCTCTTTTCCCTTAATCACGGCCCAACTTAACTACCTAAATGACGTAAATGCCCTCGGTTATAAAACCTTTATAAAACTTGAATGGGGCTGTATGTTTATTTTGATGATATTCAAAAACTTAAGTTGTCTCTACTATATAATGAAGCCGTAAAGTTTTCTCTCTTTTTATATAATGGCATAAATCTCAATTTATATAAAACATAGGAGACACACCGATTGTTATTCTTTTTATGGGAGATATTTGGAAATAACCTTTCGTTTCGTTCAAATCAAGTCTAATCTTTCAACGATGATTGAGGGCCCTTTTTATATCTATGTTATATGTATATTGTCGTGATAGAGACGAAACCTCTAACTATGCTAACACACTTAGACAAACCTTATCATCTATTGTCTATTTGTCTTCTGCTGTTGCTGCATAAGAATTCGAATTCCACATTCAAATAACTTTTAATCTTACTTTCTACAGTCTTCAGTGTAGTTTGTTTTCTGATTTTATTTTTACCGAACAAATGGCGATCATGATCTTAAAGGGCCATCAAATCATTTACATGAGAATGGAGATATCCAATCAAAATTTTAAGTCTATGCTATTCAGAAGATAAAAACATGTAGCTTTTGATTTTCGTAGAATCGAATACAAACTTTAAGACGCTTTCCTCCTTACATTTTTCAAAAGTTCAGACATTTTTCAAAAGTTCAAAACTTTAAGACATTTTTACAAACAAAAGAAAATGGTTAACAACACATATTGGGAAAATAAAAACACAAAGTCACATCGCTGCTTGTGCGCTTTCACACATCGATCCTGGACATTCGTATTTCCAAGGATTGTCATAATTTTTTTTCATGATACCAAATACACATATTTCCAAGGATTGTCATAATTTTTTTTTCATGATACACATTATATTTTTCCTTGTTATGAAATAGGCTCGTCATCATTTTGATTTCTTTCGTCACGTTATTTCGAATCATTAAAAAAAAAAAAGAAAAAAAAGGTGATGGTCCAGTTGGAGTCGGCTTATTGGGTCATAGTGGGCTCGGAAGGCACCAGCCCGTAATTCTTCCACCGTCGAAAGCGGGAGGTGGACGCTGCTCTGTGAAACCAGCCTCACGCAGTCTCCTCCGCTCTAGAAAGGGCCGAACCACAAGCCTTCGCTCGAGTCCGAACCTTCAACTCCCGACTTGGAATGGGCAGGCCAGTAAATAGCCTTAACCGAATCCGGCCCAAATAGATCGGCCCAACGTTCCATCACCTTATTGTCTCCACTGGGATCACATATATTTCCAAGGATTGTCATAATTTTTTTTTCATGATACACATTATATTTTTCCTTGTTATGAAATAGGCTCGTCATCATTTTGATTTCTTTCGTCACGTTATTTCGAATCATTAAAAAAAAAAAAGAAAAAAAAGGTGATGGTCCAGTTGGAGTCGGCTTATTGGGTCATAGTGGGCTCGGAAGGCACCGGCCCGTAATTCTTCCACCGTCGAAAGCGGGAGGTGGACGCTGCTCTGTGAAACCAGCCTCACGCAGTCTCCTCCGCTCTAGAAAGGGCCGAACCACAAGCCTTCGCTCGAGTCCGAACCTTCAACTCCCGACTTGGAATGGGCAGGCCAGTAAATAGCCTTAACCGAATCCGGCCCAAATAGATCGGCCCAACGTTCCATCACCTTATTGTCTCCACTGGGATCACACATATTTCCAAGGATTGTCATAATTTTTTTTTCATGATACACATTATATTTTTCCTTGTTATGAAATAGGCTCGTCATCATTTTGATTTCTTTCGTCACGTTATTTCGAATCATTAAAAAAAAAAAAAGAAAAAAAAAAAGGTGATGGTCCAGTTGGAGTCGGCTTATTGGGTCATAGTGGGCTCGGAAGGCACCGGCCCGTAATTCTTCCACCGTCGAAAGCGGGAGGTGAACGCTGCTCTGTAAAACCAGCCTCACGCAGTCTCCTCCGCTCTAGAAAGGGCCGAACCACAAGCCTTCGCTCGAGTCCGAACCTTCAACTCCCGACTTGGAATGGGCAGGCCAGTAAATAGCCTTAACCGAATCCGGCCCAAATAGATCGGCCCAACGTTCCATCACCTTATTGTCTCCACTGGGATCACACATATTTCCAAGGATTGTCATAATTTTTTTTTCATGATACACATTATATTTTTCCTTGTTATGAAATAGGCTCGTCATCATTTTGATTTCTTTCGTCACGTTATTTCGAATCATTAAAAAAAAAAAAGAAAAAAAAGGTGATGGTCCAGTTGGAGTCGGCTTATTGGGTCATAGTGGGCTCGGAAGGCACCGGCCCGTAATTCTTCCACCGTCGAAAGCGGGAGGTGAACGCTGCTCTGTAAAACCAGCCTCACGCAGTCTCCTCCGCTCTAGAAAGGGCCGAACCACAAGCCTTCGCTCGAGTCCGAACCTTCAACTCCCGACTTGGAATGGGCAGGCCAGTAAATAGCCTTAACCGAATCCGGCCCAAATAGATCGGCCCAACGTTCCATCACCTTATTGTCTCCACTGGGATCACAAGCCCACGTTACTAAGCTCGACGTGCAATCTCTGTGAGCTAAACTTATATATACAGCAACGAAAACCTTTTTTCTTCCGATGTGGGACTTTTGGTGACTTATGTACATCTAATTTCTCTTGGTCCTTGGTCCCTACGAAGGCATTTTGTCTCCAATTTCTCACAGTTTTGTTGTTAATATTTTAGTTGCTGATTCTTAAGTGGCTAATCTGTCAAACTGTTTTGTATTCATATCTTCCTAATTGGATCTATTTATCCAAAAAATCTTTCTGGTATTTTTTGTATTGCTCACACAAACGCCAGCAAAATATGTAAATCTTGTTCGTGTAATCTACAGAGAGTAAGTAAGAAGGTGATCTTTGATAATGCATTCCATAACAAATAAACATCAAACGGAGAAAGCTCGATTTAATGAAACGATACTCTATGGTTAGCTCTGTTAATTTCATATGTTTCTGAACTAAAGAACTTTTAAAACGAAAACAAAGAAAGCTCACTTGGTTCACTGGTTCTTAACTCTCTGATGTTTCGGTTTCCCTTCAGAGATCATATGTTGGATCTGAGCTATTGTTGTTGGTGGATCCATCACCTAATTAGAGAGCAAAAGAATATATAAAAAAAAAACAAGATAAAATAATGAGAGACGAAGAAGCCAGAGATTTTGAAGTGTGTAAGAATCAAGATTTTTCGAAGCCTCAGATTCAGGATGCTGTTCTGGCAAAAGGAATGTTTGTAAGTTGATGTTCTTGAGGATAACACATAACACAAAACTTGCTGATCAATTAGAAGATGTTGTGATTGCTGCTGTCTCTGTTGCTGCTGAATCAAAATCTCTGAAAAAGTTATCTGAATTGATAATTAATTTATTGATTAATTGTTTCGGAGAGGCTATTCGAAAGTATTGACAATAATTTTGCGTCTAAAAAATACGGCATTGTAACTAGATAATAGATATACATACAGATCATATAACTTGACAAACAAGAAAACCTAGTCAAGTATTCACCTTCTATACTCTAGAACTTCAGAGATTCTGAACTTTAAATTTCTATAGCTCTTCTCTCTTCCCATATGACCAGCAACGTGTAGATTGCCCTCGCAAGTTCGTTCTTGAAAACTTAGTATACCTTTTCTTTTCCCCATAATCCTGTACAACTCTATTGGTTCTGTCTTGATTTGCATCATAGTCGAAAGAGCTAAAATCAAGAAAGCTCGGATGCAGCTGAAGTCTTCTTGATTAGCTCAGGAACTTGATCGAGCAAACGATTCATGTCATCAGGGAATTGGTTCTTGGCTCTGTTGGTTCTTCCCCCAACCACTAACGTTGTTCCGTTTTGTAGTGCCCATATCTTCATACAAACATAAGAGATATGAATTTAAACAAAAACAGAGTTTGACACAAGTGCCAATAAAACACATTGGTTTATAAAAACAAGACTTTGATCCGTATCGATTTTAGGAGTTACTATTTTTTTTACCTGTGAATGAGATACGTAACTGATGCAGGTTGTGAGCATTAGAGCACCAAAACCAGCATACACCACTGGTACTCCTGGGTCAGCCTGAGAAACAAGACCAATAACAAAGATGTTAATTTCTTCTTCTTTTTGTGTCAGCTAACTTTAAACAAGTTTTTTTTTTTTTTTTAACCTTTAACTCGAGACCAGTGCTTCCAATTGCATCCTCAATAACGATCTTCATACCATCTATTTCAATAGGAAGCTTTGAGTTCGGTCTCCTTATTCCTGCGAATTTTCCTTCCAAATCGTACACAACAATGGATTGAAGATCCCGAGCAAGCATCGATCTGTAAAGAAAATGAGCAAAGTTAAGTCCTATACACAACAAAATGTAACTAAATGTCAAGAATCCAAGAAAAAAGTTCCATCTCTTGTAATTTTGTTGGCTTGTTTGTAAAGAGTGGTTCTTTAAAAGGTAAAGAGGGTTCTTACATTCCTTTGACATTGGGAGCATTAGTATCACCAACGGGTAAGAAGGTCCCATATAACTTCTTGTCTCCATTGATCTTAATAGGTGCCATAGCCAAGTTGAATGGTCCTTCACCATCCTTTGTCACCTGCAAAGCCGAGAAACTCCAATCTGTCTGGTATATAGTGACCCCACCGTATCTCAACGGATCATTGACGCTAATTGTCTTTCTCAGAACCTCTTTCCCATTTAGGTCACGTAGTGAAAGATCAGAGTGAAACTGTGAGACCTACAACAAATCAAACAAAGAGTTCTAAACTTAACTCTGAATGTTCACAAGACATAGTAGCAGAACAAAAAATATAAACTCACCTCTCCACTATCGTAATAGTCCATGGTAAATCGGTTAACGTGAACTTCGGTATTAAAAGCATCTGATGGAAATGAGAGAAACCCAACTGGACCCAAGACATCTCCCATGACAAAGTTTAGCCCTTGCGGAACTGTGACTGAGCCTCTAAAGCTCCCGGTCGCACTAAGGGTTCCACCCACCATGATCAGAAGCATTGCTATATGCACTCCAATAGGCGCAAATCGACCAGCTAAACCCTTGAAAGCATACAATGAAGGACCCTTCATAAACACCTGCAGAACAAAAAAAAAACTGAAAAATCAAACAATAACCTCACAGACACATATAGAAGAACTTGAAAAGGAGAGAAATAATGCCTAACCTCATATCCATCACCCATCAAGATCATTCCCAAGTCTTGAATAGATGCTCTTTGAAGAGTATCTGCAAAGTCCTGCTTTTTAATTGACTCATCTGACTTCATAAAACTCCATCTGCAATTTTTGTAGTTTCCTAAGTTAAACACCTCTGAAGCAGAGAAACAAGGAGTTACAAAAGTGGGCAAAAGGAAGAAAACAACAGACCTCCTTGCAACCTTAACCAGAGGTATCTGAGTAGTGTAAGTGCAAGCCATAAGTGAAGCTGCTAAGAGAGCCAACATCCCAAGAAATATAGGAGCAGAGTACATGTGATCCAACCCAAGAGTGAAAATCCATCTCCAAGTGAAGAACCCTAGCACAGGATTATCCTCTGGATACTTTTGGAAATAGAACTCAGGAGTTTCGCCTTGCTCAATTATAGTGCCTAAAGAGACGAAATTCGATCAGTTTCAATGCTATTGCAACAACCCAATCACAAAAAAGGGAATTTTCAAAACCCTAGAACTTACCGAGAGCCATGAGAGCAGCAATGGTGAACATTTCTGTGATAGCTAGAGGCAAATTAGACAGAATCGACAAAACTTTTCTCCGTAACCTCTTCAAAAACGCTAATCCTCCGTTTCCTCCTCCGCCATTACCACCTCCCTGAACAACCCGATCGCCGGGAATCTCCCCGTCGGTCTTTTCCGCAACCGGCGGGGCGGAATCGGAGAGCGAAATGGTCTTCGTGATGCTTCCGCTACTGGTGCTCTTCTTCGCAATCGATTTCCCATCTTGAGGATTCTGAAGCTTGCAATTGGTAATCAGAGAGACATTTCGAGTTCTGCAGAAGTAGGGAGAAGGACGAGAGAGAGGAGATTGTTGTGGATGGAACTTCGAGAAATAGAGAATCTTAGCGTTTAGTGTTACTATCATGTCGAGTTTTGGGAATTTTTCGAGCTCTTATCTCCTCATTCCTCAAGCTGCTGCTGAGTTTTGTGTGGGGGATAAAATGGAGCTTTGGTGGCAATTCTGTTATCTTGTGTTTTTTTTTTGAAGAAGATGAGATATAGCTCCGAACCGGTTTCATACTGAACCAGTTCAAGAACCAATTTCCGGTTTATCTGTTCGGTCCGCTATTTAACAAAACAAAACACTATATAATGTAGAACATTCTGGCGGCAAAAAGAACATTTACCAACAACAAGAACAAGCCCACGAGTTGGAATATTCCGGCAGAAATGACGGCGATGTTAGCATTTCTTCCGTCGTCAAAATAAGGACCACACGAGTAGTAAGCGTAATTGAACATAGAGACTAAGGCTCTTAAATTTTTAAAATTCATTGAACCCTATATATCAAGTTTTCATTTCATATGAGTTTCTTGTTGGTTCATATGAAAATTGCTTAATAGGAGGAGAAAACAAATACAGAAGAAACTGTTGTACATAAAGACAATTTGCTAAGCCCAAAGGCAAAAAAGACTATTTTGGCAAACGAACCAACAAGATCAATCATTCATTTCTTCACAGCATGGACCGATGATGATGAACCAACAACATCTTGGCGCCACTGTAAACCAACTCCGCATCATCTGTACGGTCAAACCAAATCCAAAAGTGTAAACCGGTTCAGAGTCGATACAACCAATATATATATATAAACTAACCGGAACTTAAACTCAAGAACTCTCGTTCATATTGACACATTACCAGAAATTAGATCCAACCGGAACTCGGTAGGCACATTGTCATCTGACTCAACCGCTGCTTTAGCCGAGGCAATGCCAACCGCTAAACTCTGGATTATATCTAAACCATCGGTCAGCGACGCGACTGTACCGCCTACCAAACAATCGCCTGCACCAGTGAGCTTCTTGACTTTGGCTGGGACGGTCGGGAAATGCATTGCGAATAGACTCGAACCCGGTTCAGAGAACCGGTTCGGTGAACATACGGACTGTACTCGTTTGAAGATCTCTCCACTTTTAGGAAACTTTCGGTTTATCCTCAACGCTTTTTTCGGGTTTCCTTTGGAGCATAAGAGAGCTCCATTGGAGCCGAGTGTTACGATAACTACTTTAATGCCATTTTCAAGAAGAACCAAAATGGCTGGCTTTAGAACGCGGAACATATCTTCTTGTGAAAGCTTATCTTCTTCCGGTTTAAGAGACTGAAACATATTCTTGGCGCAGAGACTGTTCGCCATTGCTATGAGCTCGTCTTGGTTTGGTGACACTACAGTTACCTATTAGGAAAAACAAATAAATAAACACAGAGAAAGAAAAAGAATCAAGCTTTCTTGAGTATATGGAGACATAAACACTCACATACTTGGCGATTGAGGCGATTCTCCGCGACTTTGTGACCGACACTGGCTCGAACCATACAGGAACATTGAACTCTGCAGCCACTTCAAGAAGAAAGAACGCTAAAGAAGAAGACAGAGAAAAACCATGATTTTATAGACATTTAAACTGAGATAATAGATACATTACATTTGCAAGATGCTTCCAAAGCAAGAGTACTGAGATTTGCATCTACCATAAGAACAGGAGCAGAGCTTATCTTGTATTCAAACCGGTGGATCCACTCAGGTGTCAGAAACTTTTCCTGCATGATAAAAAAAACGAAGATAGAACTTAAATGGCTGAGATGGATGAGATTAACATTCTATTACAGTAACATAAATGAAAAAGATACATACAACTGCATCTACACCAGCGACACCAGCAGCAACTTCTCCATTAGTGTCATATACAAGCGATACGATGGGAGTACTGATGTCTTGACGTCTTAAGATTCCTACATCATCATCGACCCAAAAGTAAAATTTTCATTACATTCAACTGAAGTGTAAAGCCAGAGAGTCAACGAGAAGGACAATAAATTGATGACGCAAAATACCGCTAGAGTTTTAGAGAAGTTGCAGGAAAAGTCTAACCTTCCATGGAGAGCTTCCACTCTTTCAATAATACATTGGCTGTGTATGAACAAGAAGAACAGATTAAGCTTGCAAGAAAACGTTTCAGTTGAAATCTATTACATTATTGAAATCAATGACATTATAGAGAAACATACCTGGACCATCGATCCCCAAAGTACCAATCATAAAAGGTCTAACTCCGAGCTTGAAGATGCACTCAGCTACATTTCTTGCTACACCACCAGGTGCAAATAAGATCTAAAGAACAAAAGATAAAAAAAGCCTAAAATAAGTTAAACAACTAATGTTTCTTTAAATTTGCTGCATCTTTAATCAACCTTGATGCACTAATTACAACCACATGATTAGATTAAACTATACAAGGTTAATTGTAGGATATACACATGATTGATTGCACACGAGAAATCAAGCAAAAGTCTAACAAAAAATAGACTTATGAGAACCCAATTCAGAAAGAAGAAAAATGATTGAACCTGGCCAGGGACGGTGGTTCCTGAGATCGGTGAGGATGAAGGCTTGGCGTGAACATCCAAAATTAGCGCACCGATAATGACAGGCTCCATTGATGAACAGTCAGATACAATTCTCTCTCTGCGATTTTCCTCAACTTTCCTCGAATCTCTCACTTCAAGTGCTCTCTCACTAGTCACTATTCTGTAGAACAGATTGATCTGTTTTTAGGACAAAGAATGATCTGTTTTTTTTTCTTTTTTTTCTGCCGTTTCATCTTTGTCTTTTGTCTATCTTGTCAAAACGGATGGATCTAACCTGACCCGACCCATTGCATTTTAATGGGTTATTTATTGTGTTTATTTTTATTTAGACTGGTTGCATTAATTTTTTTATGGGCTTTGTCACATTTTCACTCATATTGTGTATATTTAGTAGAAACTTTATAAATTAATAATATTGAAACTTTGATATTTTATTAACTTATAAAGTTATTAATTTATCAATAATTAATGAAAAATAATATTTTTTAATTTATAATATTTTTCAAAATTAATATTATAAAAATAGAGATAAATGATATAAATATTTTAATTTTATGCAAAACAATAATGTACTCATATTTTAATATATTATCATAATTATATATTTATTTTATATAATAACTATTAATTTATGATATCAATGAGACTATATTTTATATAAGTTTTTTAAAAAATTATTATCTTATTAATTTATTGATTTGTATTAAATTTTGAACCAGCCCAATTCAAAACCGAATAAATTTATTAATTTATCAAATTTATTAATTTATCAAATATTAATTTATAAAGTTTCTTCTGTACTACGATAAATATTTCACTTAATTTTTGATATTTATTTTAATTTAATAGAAAGACCTTACTAGCTCAAACACATGAAAATATGGATTATTGATCTAAACTCCTAATTGTTTTTTACAAATATAATTAAAATATTATTATAAACAATGAATTTTGATCCAAACCATATAATTTGTTGTAAATTATTAATTTGTTCGTTTAGTTGTGTCATTGTGCATCATTAGAGTCCGCCCTGATTTTTAATGTACCACAATTGTTTTTAAAAATACAAATGAGCTGATTTTATTTAGTGAAAAAACATTAAATAAATAAAAAACATTTTTTTTATCACAAGGGTTGAACTCAAAGTGTTGAAGAGAAAAATAATTTAAAGTAATCACTACACTAAAGACATATTATTTAATTGGGAGCCGAAATTGTATAAATAAAAAAGGAGCCGAAATCTATATATATATCTATTCTAACATCTATAATATATAAAAGTTGAAGGCATCCATATAAGATTAAAAAAACTTGATCTGATTGGTGCACATCAGAATATTTATTAAATAACAAAATGTTAAGTATGATTATAACCTTAATTTCGTTTTAAAAATAGAAAAATTAAATAAGTAAGTTCAATAACAAATAGAAAAGAAAATTATGTTGAAAAACCAAAAAATACTATCTTTAAAAATAAAATAGAAATTTGTTTTCAAAAGAGTTAAACTAACAAAAAAAAACCAATATAGTAAAAGTTCAAACTTATAATATAGATTAGGAAAATTCTAACTTCTAAATTAATTGAAAAGAAAATAAAAACATTGATTTCATTTTATAGGTAGAAAAATCAAAATAAAAAACTTAAGTAGCAAATAGAAAAGAAATTTATGTTTAAAAAACAAAATATAGCATCCGTCAAAATTTAAAACATTGATTTCGTTTTATAAATCTATAATATATAAAAGTTGATGATATAATGCATTGAGGGCATCCACATGTGATTAAAAAACTCGATCTGATTGGTCCACATCAGCAATTTTCATTAAACAAAAAATGGTAAGTATGATTAAAACCTTAATTTCGTTTTTTAAGTAACAAATAAAAAAGAAAATTATGTTAAAAAATCATAAAATAGTATCCTTAAAAATAAAATAAAATTTATTTTCAAAAGAGTTAAAATAACAATAAAAACCAATATCACAAAAGTTCAAACTTATAATATAGATTAGGAAAATTCTAACTTCTAAATTAATTGACAAGAAAAATATAAAACATTGATTTCGTTTATAGATGGAAAAATCAAAATAAAAAAGTTTAAGTAACAAATAGGAAAGAAAATTATGTTAAAAAACTAAAACTTAAATTAGTATATGTAGATAAAATATTCAAATCAAAGCATGCATATTGCATACAAAAGATAAAAACAGTAAAAGATGATGCAAAGACTCCACACCACCGATCCTACAAGTTAAAAAACTAAATTATAAATATTAGACTGTGAAAAAATAGATTTCAATGAAAATTGAATAAAAATATAAGCTAAAACTCTTAGAAGACATGGTGGAGAAGGAATAAATAGTTTTGCATGATCATTGCAGCTTCATAACTAAATTAAATGCCAATCAACATAAATCATGGATTATATATGTAGTGATACCAAACATCAATAAGACTTCCAATAAAAAAACTACATATTTGAACACATAAACCTTTAAGAAAAAAAACTATATAAATTCTCTCGTAAACAGAAAAATACCAAAATCTTAGCAAGATATTTTTTCTCTAAATTAAATGTATATGTACATCAAAGTTGGATAATTCGATATGTGTCATTGTTATTATTTTACCTAATAATTTTCAAAATTTTATAAATAAAAATATGAAAAAATTACATATTATTTATTAAATTCTCTTATATAAATGAAAATTTCTATAAATATATTATAGTTTTAATAATTTAAAAGATAGTAGCTAAAAAAGAATTAAATCAAACTATTAATACAGATTCACGTGTAGCGCGAGTTATATACCTAATAGAAAAATAAAAATAAAAAGGCTTAGATAACAAATAGAAAAAAAAATTATGTTAAACAACCATAACAAATAGTATCCTTAAAAATAAAATGAAAATTTGTTTTCAAAAGAAATAAACTAACAAAAAAAAACCAGTATCATAAAAGCTCAAACTTATAATATAGATTAGGAAAATTCTAACTTCTAAATTAATTGACAAGAATAAAAAAATACTAACTTCGTTTATAGATGGAAAAACAAATAAAAAAACTTAAGTAACAAATAGAAAATAAAATTATATTAAAAAACTAAAATATAGTATCCCTTTAAATCGAGTTGCTTAAAATATTAAAAATGACAATAATCTATAAAAGAAGGCATAGTGGATTGAGGACGTCCACATGAGATTAAAAAGCCTCGTTATGATTTGTCCACATCTGCAGTTTTTATTAAACAAAAAATGTTAAATATGATTAAAACTTTAATTTCGTTTTAATCATAGAAAATTAAATTAAAAAGTTTAAGTAACAAATAGAAAAGACAATTATGTTAAAAAACCAAAAAAATAGTATCCATAAAAATAAAATAGAAATTTGTTTTCAAAAAAGTTAAACCAAATATCATATAAGTTCAAACTTATAATATAGATTAAGAAAATTATGGCTTCTAAATTAATTGACCAGAAAATAGAAAACATTGATTTCGCTTTATAGATGGAAAAATCAAAATAGAAAAGCTTAAAGTAACAAATAGAAAAACAATTGTGTTAAAAAAATCAAAATATAGCATCCATCAGAATTTAAAAATATTAATTTTTTTTTATAGATGGAAAATTATAATAAAAAGGCTTAACTAACAAATTGAAAAGAAAACTATGTTAAAAAATAAATAAAAATAGTATCTTTCAAAAATAAAATTTAAATTTATTTTCAAAAGAGAAAAACTAACAAAAAACCAATACCATAAAAGCTCAAACTTATAATATAGATTAAGAAAATTATAACTTTTAAATCAATGGACAAAAAATTAAAAAATATTAATTTTGTTGTACAGATGAAAAAAAAAGCTTAAGTAACATATAGAAAAGAAAATTATATTTAAAAAACTAAAATATAGTATCCCTTTAAATTAAATAGAAATTTAATTTAAAAAGTCAAACTACCCAAAAAATCAATATCGTAAAAGTTAGCATATATTATAATTTTTTTTTTAATTTATAATGTATTGCACATATACAAATATATAATAATGTTATATACTGTCTAGATGCTAATGATATCGCCAATGGTGGAAGTCATAATAAAATAAATATTCACTTGCAATTAAAAAAATAAACATGTTTTCCCAACAAGTCATTTATATATATTCTAATATGGAATACAATCTATGTTTAGTTACCACCTTTTTACATTTTGTAAACAGTGGGCCAATTGTTACTCTTTCGCCAATTTTCAAAGAAAAATAATAAAAAATATTGTTAAACTTGTCGTGCTCCTAGCCACAATTATGAACCCAAAAATAATTCAAAGTTCGTAATTTCAAACATATAATTACCATTGTTTTACTATTCTTTATGAAAATATGATGAATCCTGAAATAAATTAGATAATAAGATTTATTTAACTCTTAACACCATACTTTAAATTGCATCATGTAAATTATTATTTTTGAACTCCACTTCTTCTACCCGGTTTTTTTTCGACAAAAATATTGAAGCAGCTACTGATTATACTAACTATTTGACATGATAAGTACGCTCATATGCATGTATCTCACCATACTTTAATCTTCTATTGGAGTTTTAGATATGAAGCCAAACTATTTTATAGCTATTATGATATGATGAGAAATTAAACATATTTTTATTAAAATCTTTTTTACTTTTCAACATGTTATAAATTTATGTTTCAAAACAAAATAGGAATCATTGTCAAACGAGGCAAAATAACAAAAGAAAAAATCATATAAAAGAAAACGAACCCGGGCTAAAGATTTTGAAAATCAATATAAACAAAACTAAACAAAAATAAACAAATGAGGTTATACGCTTTTTAGGAAATTCCATCTAAGATTTAAATTCAACAGTTAGAGCATATCAAATCAGCATTATAACTAGAATTAAAATTAAGATAAAAACAAATTTAACAAAGAAAAGTATTTGTATAATAGAAATTAATGTGATGTATATGATACCTATTTGAAAAATCAACAACAAAAGAGCTTAATAAAAAGAATATAAGTCCTAAGTATACCTAACATACAAAAGTATATAAATGAAAATAAATAAAAAATTACTATCAAAAGATGTAAATTATCAAAAAAAAATTAAATCAAAATTAATTTGAAATTAGTTTCAAAAAGTTTCTGATTTCTAGAGTATTAGTATCAACAATAAATAACTATCCAAAGTTGCAATAGGTTTACATGAGTTTCTAAACAAAACATATTTTTAAATATATAATGATTAATACACTTGATGTTTCTGATTTAAAAAC